GAGGCGGATTTCCCTTCCCCTACTGCCTAAGGTTAAAGAGGAGCTCAACCGTATGCAGCAGGAAGGAGTCATCACCAAGGTGGAACAACCAACGGACTGGTGCGCACCTATGGTGGTTGTTCCCAAGAGCTCGGGCAAGGTGAGGATATGTATTGATCTCACAGAACTGAATAAATATGTCATGAGAGAAAAACATCCACTCCCATCAGTGGAGCACACGCTCGGACAGCTGGCAGGAGCAAAAGTGTTCTCCAAACTGGATACCAATGCTGGATTCTGGCAGATTCCACTGTCAAGGAGGTCTTCCCTCCTCACCACCTTCATTACACCGTTTGGGCGCTATTGCTACAATCGGCTCTGCTTTGGGATTTCATCAGCGCCAGAGCACTTCCAGAAACGCATGACACAGATTCTAGAGGGCCTGGATGGAGTCCTTTGTCAGATGGATGATGTCCTCATCTGGGGGACGACGCAGCAGGAGCACGATGAAAGACTGAGGAAAGCACTGTTTCGACTCCAAGAGGCGAAAGTAACGCTAAATGACAAATGTGAGTTTTTTAAACGTAGAATAAAGTTCTTGGGACAAGTCATTGATTCATCAGGAGTCAGTCCAGACCCGGATAAAGTGAGTGCTATAAGAGCAATGGAGGAGCCAAGAAATATAAGCGAGGTGAGACGCTTCCTGGGTATGGTGAACCATCTTGGGAAGTTCCTCCCCCACCTAGCAGAGAAAACCCGACCTTTGAGAGATCTTCTGAAGAAGTCAAACATGTGGTCATGGGGTCCACCACAACAACAAGCTTTCGATGCTATTAAAATGGATCTGACAACACCACCAGGACTAGCTTTGTATGACCCAAATGCAGAAACATGTGTTTCAGCAGATGCATCATCGTATGGACTCGGTGCAGTTCTTCTCCAGAAACATTCTGATACAGGATGGAGGCCAGTGGCATATGCATCACGGTCTCTCAGCGACACGGAGCAGAGGTATGCTCAGATTGAGAAAGAGGCTCTCGCTTCCACATGGGCCTGTGAGAGGTTTGCAGAATTTTTGACTGGGAAGAGGTTCCACATTGAAACAGATCATAAGCCATTAGTTCCACTGCTGGGGTCGAAGAGCCTAAACGACCTTCCTCCTCGCATACAGCGACTGCGAATGCGACTAATGAGATTTTCTTACAGCATTTCCCATGTGGCTGGTAAAAATATTGCTACAGCCGATGTTTTGTCCAGAGCTCCAATACCCTACGAGTCAGGAGGACTGAGAGAAGCGGAGGTCAACTTGTATGTTGACTCAGTCGTTGCATGTTTACCTGCCACGGAACCACGACTGAGGGAAATCCAAAGACATCAGGACAGTGACAGCATACTCAGACAGCTGAAAAAGTTCAGTGTGGAAGGATGGCCAGATAAATACTCTATTGAGAAAGGGTTCCAAACTTATCTGCCATTTTCGGGTGAACTTACTGTTCAAAATGGCCTGCTTCTTTATAGTAGTAGAATAGTGATTCCAGCTTCTCTCAGAAAGGACATCCTATCGAAGCTACACGAGGGTCACTTGGGACTAACTAAATGTAGAGAAAGAGCCAAAACTTCAGTGTGGTGGCCAGGTCTGAGCAGCAAGCTCGTTAAGCTGTTGGAGACCTGTGACACTTGTTGTCGGGAGAGAACTAAACATAAGGAGCCACTGCTGCCCACTGAATTCCCACAAAGACCATGGGTCATGGTGGGAGCTGATCTTTTCCACTTTAAAGACAAACAATATTTGGTGATCGTGGATTATTTCTCCAGATTTTTTGAAGTTGCAAAGCTTACTTCCACAACATCTGAGGGAGTGATTGAACACTGTAAATCCATCTTTGCACGCCATGGTATACCAGAGCGTCTCCGTTCTGATAATGGGCCACAGTTTGCTGCGGATTCCTTCAGGAGATTTGCAAAAGAATGGGGTTTCAGTCATGAAACATCCAGCCCAAATTTTCCTCAGAGCAACGGGGGGGCCGAGAGAGCGGTCAGGACTATCAAGTCTCTCCTTAAGAAGGCAGGGGATCCGTATCTTGCTCTTATGGCCTACCGTTCCGCTCCATTAGCGAGTGGGTTCAGTCCGACTGAGCTTCTCATGGGCAGGAGGATAAGGACAACTGTTCCTGTTACTCAGTCACAGCTAACGCCAAAGAATATTGATAACTATTGACAGAAACAAAGACAAAACTACAACCGGAGGCACCGAGCCCGCAACATGTCAATACTACATCCAGGTGAGAAGGTGTGGGTGACAGATCTGCAAACCAGAGGAACAGTACTGTCTGGTGCAGGATCACCTCGATCTTACATCATTGAGACACCCAGAGGCATGCTGAGACGGAATAGCTACCACCTCTCGCGCACTCCTGGAGCAACTGAAACATCTGCTGTTCCACAAGAGAAATTGCCTGAAGACAACCTTCAAGATTCTCCACACACACCTGATCCAGAGGAAGACCAGCAGGAGGTTAGCCATCAGACTCCACCACCTGAGGGTCGAGTTTCACTGAGAAGTAGGAGACCTCCGGCTTATCTGGATGATTATATTTGTTCATGGGAACTGAGTGAGTTTTCTCATGGGGCAGAATAATCCCCACACTCAGATAGAGGACTTGGGTAGTCCACCCCTTCCTCTTAGTAGATAAAATACAATGTTATAGAGATTACTTTAATGTTCTGAGATTTATATATATCTTAGTTCCAAGGCTGAATTGTGACTGGAAAGAGTTCTAAGTTGTGCACTGTTAGTGTAAAATAAATCAATAAACAGTAATGACAAGTTCAAGTTCTAGCACATTCTACTGTGGAAAAGTACTAGTAAGATTCTGAGTTAATCTTTGGTATTCCACAAAGGATGCATCTTTCTGGTGAAATTTAAGTTCACATCTCTACATGTTCTTATATAAACCCTCATAACATATCCCATTCAGAAAGGGGGATGTAGTATCAGGCTATCAGAGGATAGGAACCTTTGTGCTGTACTGTGTTCAGGGGGAGAAGGCAAATAAAGGAGTAGGCTGCAGCCAGCGGGTTGCCGCGTCCCGTAGCTGCTGGGCGTAGGTGAATGGCCGGTCCTCCGGTCCCAGCTGGGCTTCCCGGAACCGGCGCCTGTGGTCCTCCGCCGAGAGCCCCAGCCGGTCCAGAACAGCCATCCTCACCTCCCGATACCGTCCTCGGGAGGAAGCCGGCAGACCCAGCGCCGCCGTCTGGGCTTCTCCTGACAGGAGGGGAAGCAGTCGCACTGCCCACTCTTCCTCCGGCCACCCGCACGCTGTCGCCGTAGCCTCAAACATGCCCAGGAACGACTGTGGGTCGTCCTGGTCGTTCAGCCGGTGTAGCTGAATCCCCGCGATCGGGCCCCCTGGGGGAGCCGTCGTCCTCTCCACCACTGCCTCCAGCAGTTGCGTCTGCCGCTCCGACTGCGTCATCAGAGCCTCCAGCTGCTGCCGGCTCAGGGCAGCCTGGTCCTAGTTCATCGCGGCCATCTCCGCCAGCATCTGGGCCAGCGTCAATATGGGCTGCTGTGGCTCCGTCATCTTGGCCTCCGCACTCCTGTCAGAACACGTTGGGCGCCAATTGTGACCGTCGCGTCACCGTAGGTGCCTGACAGAGTCTCTGAGACCAGTATTTGGTGGTGAAAGGGGTTTTTATTCGGAGCGTGTGTGCTGCACGCACACACACACTCACGCACACCCGGCTTGGGCTTTCCTTTCGGTTCTGGCAGTTTGCCTGTTCGGGGACGTGATCGGGCGGCTCGTACCGGCCCCTCCTCCAGGTCCAGCACGCTACTTTTTTTATAAGGGGAGAGTGATTGGTCAACTGTTTCCAGGTGTGCTAATCACCTCCCCTGGCTCTGCTCCCTGAGCCTCCTCCACACCTCCCCCTACAGCTGAGCGCCACGCCCCCCTCCACAGACTGTTAAGCATATGGGTCTCCTGGATGAAATAGATATCCCCCCTAAATTGGTTTAAATGGGTCATTACACGTTGCAATTTAACAGCATTACCCAAACCCTTCACATTCCAAGAAACGAGTCTAAGTGTGGTACTTGCATTTGTTGTCATGTTTCATGTATTGTTGAGGATATGGAAATGTTACACAGGTTTCCAACATGTACCTGGTGGGACCAAGCGTAGAGTTGCAGGTATCTGAAAAGACATGAGTTGGGGAAAGAGAGAGGAAAAAGAAAACACACACAAAAAAAACCCATGGCGATGGGTATCCCATACATGTGAAAATCCAGTGTCCATTGGACATTGGACCTTTAGAACTTCCAACTTCGTCACGATCCAAAAAGTAAAAACCCCCCAGCCATGTGTAAAGCATTCCAATGATAATTATATAAAACCCTTCTTTGTCACAACTAATTGCACCATAACAAGTCATCAACGATAATAAAGGCATTGTAGTAGAAAAATATTAAAATAAGTAAACAAAAAAGCTATATTAATAATTTAAAATGACTAAATAAATTAGATAAAAGCAAATAATGATAAATAAAAACCATAGTAAATAAGTAAGATTTACTCAAAAAGGTAATAAATCTGTTAAAAATAAATAGATAAAATTAAAAAAATTTAAAAAGTTATAAAAAAAAGAGTTATAGAATTTTTTTGCAAAAAGTTAGGTAAAGAAATGTATATAATGAAAAAATAATAATTACTAAAAAAGTACGTATAAAGTGTTTTTATAAAAATACAATGTAGAGTTTTATAAAAAAAAAAAAAAAAAAATAGAGATGTTTTTCATTAAAAAAAAAAAAATATATATATATATATATATATATAAAACAAATACAAAGACCTGTAAACTAGGCTTATTCAACATTTAAACATATTTATAAAACCAATAACCTTCTTCAAAGTATACAGAAGAAACACTTTGAACCGAAACATACAGCCATGATCAAACTGCAGCAAATATTCAAGTCAGAGCTCCGTGGTCGTCACCTATGGACGCTAAAGTCAGTTCACCTCTGGTTCATTCTGTCGACGTTGACGAGATGCAAGGTCCGCAGCTTCCTCTACGGAGGGCAGATGTTTTCTTGATTCGTCGCGTAGCACAACAGTTAGCTTAGCAGGGTACATCAGTTCGGGCTTGTCTGGGTATTGAGTGCGTTGTTCCAAAAACTCCAGGGCGTAGTCTTCAAAGACGTGGATAGGTGTATCTTTATATTTCAGCTCTCCCCGTAGCTGTCGGGCAGCCCGCACAACCAGCTCCCGGGGTTTGGAAATGATGAAAACAGATCACGACATGCCGTGGCCTACCCGTGGATGGTAGCCTAGCAGGCTGCGCGCGGTGGGCCCTGTCCAGCCTCGGGGGTGAAGACAAAATGTCCGCACCAACCACATCACATCACATAGTCGTTGGGAAAAGAACTCCGTTAGTCTAGTCTGGCTTTCTATTTGTTCCGCAGCTACCGCTGCTAGCTCAGCCCGCATGTCAGTTAGCTCATCACTGGTGGAGTTTGTAAATTGCTCCAGACTGGCAATACGTTGGTCGTGGTCTTCAACGGAGTTTTGGAAACTGATGAGCCTTGCCTCGTACCTCGTGTAGGTGTCTTTGATCTCAGCTAGCAGTTCACTTTTGGTCTCCGGAAGCTTAGCTGTTAGCACGGCTGTGAATGCGGTGACATTAGCTACTTCTTTGCGGTCTTGTTCATCTTTCTTTGGTTTTGGAGGCATGATTCTGCTCCAAATAAGGGCAGGTTATTGCTGGGTTACAGTGAAAATGACAAAAAAATCAGTAGAAGTAATAAGTTCGGGGAGCGTTGAAAAATGTGTCTAGCCCATCGCAAGTACGTGATTCGGCTTTTAACATAAAATTTGATGGCTGACCAATTTCTGTTCATGAGTGGAACTTTTTCAAGTTGAAGGTACTTGTCGCCGTCACTTTTACCAGGGACATCATATGCCTCTCAACGTAAATTTCTACTTCGTTCCACATTTTTCTTTTTGTAGGTTGGAGACCTGCAAAACAATGCATAAATGTTTCTCTATGGAAGTGCGATTACAAAATTGAACTAAACTGGATGAATACAAAGCACACCAGAAAAGTTTAAATTGATTTGATATTTAAAGCAGTGTTCAAGTGTGTGTGTATCTGAGATTGGCAAGGGGAGAAACCATGTTACTACTAATCAAATCAAATTATTGCTAAGATCATCATGATCATCAGATCACAGTCATAATGAACTGAAACATGAAACAAAAGTTTAATTATTGCCTTTGAAACGGTTTACTTGCATTATTTTGATATACTAACATTACAAGTGGCTATTCTGGTCTCGATAATGTTTACAATAATATTGTTTATTTTCAATAATTTGTGGGACATTATATCGTGTAGCAAAATCTGTTATCGTCCCAGGCCTAGGTGTAAAAAAAGTATGGAGGCTGGCGCCTACAGTATAATGTGTACACATGTTCCTCTTGGGTATTGAGGATCTTCTGACTAATCTTGGTCAAACTGTAGTTTTTGCCAAAGTACATTTACTGCTACTAGACAACAACACAGCCAAACACCCCCAGTCCCCCAGATGAAACTGTTGAAAGAAGGATAACAGCAGGAGCTCCAGGAATATAGTTTGATTTGAGATACTTTACGTTTCTTCTTTATTACTGACCCGCATTTGGAGGCTTGTGGCAGTGTAATATTAGAGGCTTCTGGAGATGCCATGGTGTCCTGCTGTGGTACTGCATCATGATGGTTTACATATGGCACTGTGGTCTCACTGTCTTCTGTCTGACTGGGTGTGGCAAGACTCTCTGAAAACAAGAACAGAAAGAAGTATTGTGACCAAGCCTTTCAAAAGGGGGAGGGGGATGACGAGGACAGTAGGTTGGGCGGTATTCAAATTTTTATACCTTAATACCATCGCCACATTTTACCCGAATATACAGTATTACTGAGAACAATTAAAAATGACTTAAGGCTCAGACGGCATCACACTGTAGGTGTAGGCACTTCCGAAACTTTGGTAGTCAGAAACTGAATACTAAAATCTGTTAGAGACACATTAACATAATATGCACAATATTAACTTTTTTTAGCAACAGCTTGAAAAGTGCAACCTCTGAGATGCGGCCTTAGGTTTGACATGTTCTTGTCCCTTTTTATGATATAATTTACATATTGCCTCATTAGTATTTACTAACGCCCCATTCTCATTTCCTAAATACTGCCAGACTGAAAAAGTTGTTTTCTTCTTAGTGATGACGTCCCTCAGTGCATGAAATGCCATCTCTCTTTCTCAGTCCTCCACACTGTCACATGATCATGTCGCATTCATAAACTTTATCAAAAGTCTCACTACTGTGAAAGTAAAACTGAATTCAACCACATATAAGTGTTGCTGGACATAGAACCATTTTTAGGCATTGATTTAATTGTATCTATATCCAAGCCTTATCTCCTATATAAACGCATTGCATTTTTTTAATTGACGGTGATGACAATATTGAAATTGATACTGTTGCTTTTGAAAGATACCGCCGGTATTACCGTATTACTGTCCAACCCTAGAGGAGAGAAGACAGATGTGAGGACAGGAAGAGGAGACGAGGACAAAGGAGAGAAGGCAGATGTGAGGACAGGAAGTGGAGAGGAAGACAGGGGTGAAGCACACTGTGACAACAGTAAAGTAAATTGATATCTTGACACTACTTGCGTTGTGAGTCTGATTGATTTAAGTCCTCAGTTTCACTGTCCATCTGCACATTCTTTGTGATTTGATTTGTGAAGGGTTGAAAGAGAAGATAAGAGGTTAAGAGGATAAGAGAATGATTGTTAATGAAGATGGACATAAGTTTGTTTGGTTGCAATACAATTATGCAATACAGAAACGTGATTTTAGAGATATTTAATCACTTCAGACAATATAGATTTGTTTCATCTAGAACAAAAAAGGTTAAAAAAGTGTACCTTCAGGATCAATGTTTATTTCATCTCGAGTTGTGCCCTTGAATTCTGCCAGGCGTCCGTGCGCCAGAGCCATGAGGACTTTGCTATTTTTAGCAAGTTGAAGGGTGCCTTCAGGAAGCCTGTAGAATTGACGATGAACTCTTATGTCATGGCCGAGAAAATCAGCTAACTGATCCAGCTCTGTGTCCCTAAGGTTGAGAACTTGAGACAGAGTTCCTGTTTGCTTGCGGAATTTTGTGAAGGTGAGACTTTCAGGACTTTTCACACCACAGACTTTGGCAAAGTTTCGAAGGCAGTCAGACCCACAGTAGCCAGACTATATTTATGGTCTAGCAAATAAGTATGTGTTGTGCTGAAGGACCCCACATTCCTGTCCTTTATTCACCAGAAAATTCAATGATTGCTGCATTGCTGGAGTCAAAAGCACAGGAACTTTTCTTCCCCTCTTTCCTCTTTTTTTATCCTCTTGAAATGCTGGCAGAGTCTCTTTTCCAGGCCTGAGAGGGCTTCATTGATATCCTCTTGTGGATCAGATGGATTGTGAGACCAAAATGCTGAAAGGGGCATTTTTGACACCTCCCCTGCTCTTCGTCGGTTAAACAAGATAACTTGAGTCAAAGTGACCTTTGCCAACTCTGCCCATGTCTGGGGGGATGGCACTGTCATCAGCTTATTGTATAGATGTTGCTGCTGTGCATCTAAGTAAGAATGGAGCATTTGAACATCTTTTGTGAAGGGAGTCAACAGAGGAGCATTCCACTTTGATTCTTGAAGTGTTCTCAGTGATGCTGAAGAAATCGTTTAATAAATTGGAAGGCTCCTGATCTCATCGAGGAAAACCACTCCATTGAAGATTATTGAAAACCATATCAAACTTACAAATTTAAAACACACACACACAAACTTCATCTAGCCATATTTTAGCTTGGTAATTTAGTGTAATATGTTATTAGAGACAATATATTAATATCTCTCTTTCAATTACCAGGCATGGGCAATTACAGGGCCAATGGTCATTTTATTGAAGGACACTTCTCATCTTTATGCAATGTGTCCAACTTTCAGTGTTATTTAAACTTGCCATTAATTATTATTGAATATAATCATGGTAGACCGCTATGGCAAAAAATTCCCGGGCAATTTTTTGGTGCGTCCAGCCCTATCACTCACACACGCGGGCGCCCGCACCCACCAACACCAACCACATCACCAACAGCTGTATGGCCACATATAAACTTTACTAATCTGGACAAAAACATTAATTTACCCGGTAATTTCAACTGAGCTGTAATCTCCCCCCAACTTTTCTCCCTGATATTTCTTTTTGTGGCAGTGCTGGAGGGCCACATCTACGAGGCACAGGTGAGCCTGCCAGAGTTCTACGATTATCTCTTCCAGAGTTTGGTTCCTTGTCGCACGAACCGCTGCCATGTTGCATCCTTCAATTTCACTTTTGTGTTTTCACAAGCGCAGTACCAGAGGTAGAGGGTAATTGGGTCATACATGCTCGTAGACTTGCTTCAACAGCACGATAGCCTCACGAGGGCCAACCAGAATTTCAATACGGTTTGATTTTCATCCCACCATACAATTATTGATTGGGAGGTGGTCGTGAGAGGTTAATTTATTTTTACCGTGTGTAAACCACACGATGTGAGACGCACGAGTACTGAAACTCAGCCCGATCAAATAAATTCTAGCATGAGTGAAAATTGGTCTCAAAAAGGGGCAAAAATCGCAGCTGTAGGATCTCAATCAGAAAGAACCTAACTGTACATCCAGCTGGAATCTGTGCCCAAGAAACTGCCATGGTATGATTAGTTAAAGAGCGTTTGAATACACAGTAACTGTGATGATGTTTGAATAGTGTTTTATATTTTTATTTTCGTATTCAGTTGTCTGCTATTCGAACATGATTCAGTTTTCAATGCAACACCAAACCAGAGCAAGTTATCAAACTAAAACAGCTAACATCAGCAGTATACTGGTCAGAACATGAACAAACATTTACTTTAGATAGGTGTTACTACCCTGGCTCCGGGGGTAGGAACAATGATGGGGAGACCACACAAAAGAAAGGTTTAACAATTTATCAAAGTAAATAAACGTGCTAGTGTAGGTCAGTGGTGTATGTAATGTTGGGGTGTATGAGGTGTGTGAAAGTGTACATGGATCAAACTAAACTAAAAGCTGGAGCAGGAGGCCAGAGGAGGCCAGAGGAGTCCATGGAGCGCAGAGAGAGCCATAGCCATGTTCTCTGGGCCAATTTTTAGGAGGCCACTGCAGGTGTGGTACTCTCAGGTCCGCCGCTCACTTCCTGGAAGCACAAACCAGAGGAGCAGTCTCTCCACAATAAAGGCGGCCTTGGCCGTCACACTCCCCCCCCAGAAGAAAAGGGCCCCGCAGCGGGACCTTCCAGAGAAGCCCGGGTCCAACTTCGCTGTACCTTTGTGGCCATCATGGCCCCGGAACATGGGGTCACCACCGTGCTGTCCCGAAATAACGTGGCACGGTGGGTCAGTGAACGAAATAGAAGTCCGGCCCAGTGATCCCCTTCTCCAGTCACAGTCTACTCAGCAACCCGGCACCTGGGGAGCAAATTAAGAGGAGAGAGGAGAGAGAAGAGGTCTTAAACAGGGGCACGGGACAGGGCATCAGCCATGACGTTTTCTGTTCCCTTGATATGGTTAATGTCAAGGTGATACGGCTGAAGGAACAGGGCCCAACCCATGAGCCGCTGGTTCGGGTTCTGAAGAGAGTTTAGAAATGTTAGAGGGTTGTGATCGGAATAAACGGTCAGGCATGTTCCAGAGTTTATATACAGCTGGAAGTTCTGTAAAGCCAATAATAAAGCCAACGCTTCCTTTTCTATTACTGAATAGTTAAACTGGTACGAATTAAATTTCTTGGAAAAGAAACTGATGGGATGGTCAATCCCCCGTTCATCAGCCTGTAAGAGAACAGCTCCAGCCCCAACATGGCTGGCATCAACCTGCAGCTTGAACGGCTGATTGAAACTAGGTGCAAGCAGTACAGGAGCTGAACAGAGAAGAGACTTTACATCTTCAAATGCTTTTCTAGCATAAAGGAGACCAAATAAACGTAACTTTTGCTTTCAATAAATCACTGAGAGCAGCGACTACACTTCAGAAGTTTCTGCAGAATGAATGGTAATAACCTACGAGCCCCAAGAACCTCATAAGTTCTTTTTTGGTAGTAGGCACTGGGAATTCCGAAACTGCTGAAACTTTTACTGAGATAGGACGAACTTTACCTTGCCCAACAACTTTGCCTAAATAGGTAACTGTAGCTTTAGCGAAATCACATTTTGCAAGATTAAGTATTAGATTTCCATTGGCCAAGCGATCAAAAAGTGCCTGAAACTGGTTCAAATGTTCATCCCAACTATGGCTATAAACAACCACATTATCCAAGTAGACTGCGCAACCCTTCAAACTGCTAACAACTTTGTTCATTAAACGTTGAAATGTTGCAGGTGCATTTCGTAAACCAAAACCCATTACTGTATAAGAAAACAAGCCTGATGGAATAATGAATGCTGAGATTTCCTGAGCTCTTGGAGTTAAGGCAACCTGCCAATAACCCTTGAGAAGGTCAAATTTACTCACAAACCGGGCGCTACCCAATTGGTCCACACAGTCTTCAACCCTGGGCAATGGGAAAGAGTCTGGTTTGGGAACTGAGTTTATCTTACGGAAATCTGTGCACATTTGAGGAGACTTGTCAGCCTTCTGCACAATCAAACATGGAGATGCCCAACTGGAGAAAGAAGAAACAGCCAAATTATTGTCAAGCATGTACTTAACTTCCTTATCAATGACCTGCAGCATTTCCTCTAAGACTCGGAAAAACCTCTGGCGAATGGGCTTGGCATCACCCACGTCAATGTCGTGTTCTATTAAATTTGTCCTTGAAGGGGTGTCTCCAAACAAACAAGGGTACTCCTTAATTAGAGCAGACAACTGAAAGGCTTGAGCGTTTGGCAAAAGGGAAAGTTGAAAATCTAATTTTTGTAATGATTCGGAAACTCTTAAGCCTACCACAAAGAATAGCTTCATCACGCATTACACCTTCCTCCTGGCTGCTTGATGTCACAGGCAGTCAGAACTGTATTAAGAACCAGAGCCTTGCAAAGACTCACGGACAAAGTAGGGTTTTAGAAGGTTAAAGTGGCAAAGCTGCTGACTTTTCCTTCGATCTGGAGTAGAAATTTAATTGTTAATTGTCCAGCTATGTAAAGACGATGTCTGAAACCATTAACATAATCCAACAAGTTTACGAGAGGTTTCTCGGTGGCCCAACGATCATGAAGTACTGCTAACGGACCACAGACTTTATGGCCAAAGACTAGGTCGTTAGGGCTAAACCCAGTGCTTTCCTGAAAAACTTATCTGGCTGCTAACAGTAACCACGGTAACCCCTCTTCCCAATCTTTACTCAACTCTATACAATAGGACCATAACAGCGATTTGAGAGTTTGGTGTAACCTCTCCAGTGCACCCTGGCTATGTGCATGGTACGCTGAAGCCTGATTGTGCCTAATGTTGAGCTGATCCAAGACCTGGGCAAAGAGGTGAGACGTAAAATTTGACCTCTGATCACTCTGAATGATCTTTGGTATTCCTAAAATGCCAATAAATTGAGACAATGCCTTGACAATAGATTTGGCAGTAATATTGCGAAGTGCATAAACAGCTGGATAGCGAGTAACCAAACACATTACAGTTAGCAAGTATTGAGATCCTGATTTAGATTTTGGCAAAGGCCCCACACAGTCAATTATTAAATGTTCAAATGGATTCTCAACAGGCGGTATTGGACGAAGCAGTGCTGGTTTTATCGAATGATTAGGTTTACCAGTAATTTGGCATGTATGACAGGTCTTAATGTAAGCTGCAATGTCACGTTTAAGACGAGGCCAAAAGAAATAAATGACCCGTCCGATCATGAGAAATTGACAAAACCTTCTGCCTGAATTTAACCGCAACAACAATTTGGAAAATTGTATTTCCCTGGATGTCACTGACCTGGGGAAGCCATTTTCAACGAGTACCTCATCTTGTAGAAAATACCCAGATGCCGAACTTTGAATCTCCAAAACAGATTTCACTTGTTCAAAAGGGTCACTCAACGAACCATCTGCTTTTTGTTCAGACACAAGTTCCTGCTGAGAGATTGAAAAAAAGTCAGGTAAAACAAGTTTAAAGTCACAACTATTAACTTCAGTGTCATGTTCGGGGTTGTTCTGGTGTTTTCCCCTTTTTCTGTTTCC